GGGGAAGAGACAGAAATCTTTAATTAATTAATAAAGAAATAAATTTAAAAAAATTAAAAAAAAAGAACACAGGGTATCTCAGACACAGCTGTCTTAGGCTGATAACTACAAATATAGAGCAAAGAAAATCATGCTCCTAGGAAGCAAAACTGTCCTTCAAGGCCCCACGCCCAGAGCAGACCTTGCCATTTCTGCCGTTATTCGTGGACTAATAAAACTATCATTTTATTTCAGTCTTCATCATGGTATCTGAGAAAGCCTACAACTGGTCTGACTTCCAGTAGTTTCAGGGTTAGAATGAAAGAGTTGAAAAGTTCTGGGACACTAGTATGTATACAAATGACAGTCTGCTGATCATGGAATGCTGATATATTGATGGTTGACTTGGCTTGATCTAGAGTCAATGAGAAAAAACAGCTATGCATGGATGTCTGTGAGCTGGATTCTTTGTTTGAGTTGTTTGTTTTATTAAGTTACCTTAGGCAGGAAGACCATATTAAATATGGAGACACTATTTATGCATGGTTCATAGACTCAATAAAACTGAGAATGGGAGCTGTGCACTGCATTAATCACCATCTGCCACTGTTACCAAAACTCTCAATCTCCTGTTGCCATGACTGTATTCCCTGCAACTGAAACTGAGCTCAAGAAAACTATTTCTCTCTAATTTGCATTTGTCAGGATACTTTGCCAAGAAACAGGAAAAGTACAGAAAATAAAGGGACATTTTAGTTTTCATTTAGAGAGAGAGAGAAAGAAATCCAATTAAAATGTCCTGGATGTGGGAAAAGGGAACACTTCTTCATTGCTAGTGGGAATGCAAGCTGGTACAGCCCCTTTGGATGTCAGTGTGGCGATTTCTCAGAAAATTAAGAAAACAACCTTCCTCAAGACCCAGTAATACTAGTTTTGTGTATATATCCAAAGGATACTCAATTGTGCCACAAGTACATGTGCTCAACTATGTTCATAGCAGCATTATTTGTCATAGCCAGAACCTGGAAACAACCTAAATGTCCCTCGACTGAAGAATGGATAAGGAAAATGTGGTACATTTAAACAATGGAGTACTACACAGCAGAAAAAAATAACGACATCTTGAATTCTGTAGGAAAATGGATGGAGCTAGAAAACATCATTTTGAGTGAGGTAACCCAGACACAGAAAGATAAGTGGTTTTTAAACATAAAGCAAAGAAAACCAGCCTACAAACCACAATCCCAAAGAACGTAGACAACAATGAGGACACAAAGAGAGACATACATTGATCTAATCTACATGGGAAGGAGAATAAGACAAGATCTCCTGAGTAAATTGGGAGCATGGGGACCTTTGGGAGAAGGTTGAAAGGGAGGGGAGAGGTAGGGAGAGGAGAAGAGAAAAATGTAGAGCTCAATAAAAATCAATAAAAAAAGATTTAAAAAAGAAAGGAAAGCTGCAAAAAATGTGATGCATGGCAACATTCCGAATGGGCATCTGTACTTGATAGCATCACCCTCGTGGATCTGGAATTACAGGCATGAAGGGTACACCAATAAATGGGTTATGGATTATTCCTCTGAAGCTAGTGAAAGAAACTCAGGTTAGGTAATATGTTCCAGAAAAGTCTCTGCATTAAGGAACTGAGAGAACAAAATTTGTGTGGCTAATGTTTGAAGCTATGAAAATAAAACAAGAGTTGTTTTGTAATCCAATGTACTTGAGGTACAGAGCTATGAAACGTAGAACAAGAACTGTACACAGAAAGCATTACTAGCCTCAGAGGGAGAAACTTGTACATTCATTTATCTACTAGGCTCCTGATCATATCTTAATTCAACTTTCTACTAGTCAAATTTCAGTTTTCCTTATTATTTTCCGTAGTCTCATTTAAGTCCAAATTCCAAAATCCACTTTCTCATCTGCAAGAGATCTTTTAGATAATAATAGCATTGCTTGACATTTGAGTTTAACTTATCCTCAGTGTGTGTGTGAACTCACATCTTCAGGCTTCTCTAGCAAGTGGATTTATACAATAAGAGATCTTCCCCATCCAATTTCAACAATTTAAAAACAAAAGATATAAATTATTATGATGGTTAGTAAAATAAGCAAATTTAAAGTCAACTGTAAGTTCTCTATGTGAGTTGGTGCACAACCTCTAGGCAATTAATTAGTTATTCAAATGCTTTAGGGATAGTCATCAAATTGCTTGCAACCCCATGGGGAGAATATTGAAAATCACGTAGAAATCTATAAATTCTCCTAAAAAGTACAGATTTAAGAAATGCAAGGGAGAGTAAAGAGACAGTTGTCATTCAATTTTTAAAAGGTGGAATGTTTGATGAGATACTCTGTGATGGTATTATCTGCAGGAGTGTTCACATGTGCTCTGGATTTTACATCTAATGTAAGAGTTCCTTTCTGGTTAATTTTTGAGATACGATCCCACTGTACCATAATGCCTGAGGATCATAGATTCTTCCTTTCTTCGTGTTTATTCTCCAGCATTTAGAGATTAATATTTAAACTGTGCATTAGTACTTAAGAAGCATATTTTGTAGAAGTATAATTTTATCAACAGATTTCAAAATGTAGTAGAAACTAAAGTTGAGTAAGTGGAAATTAATATGTTAGAGAGAAAAAATGAAACAATTTTTATTTTCTTCCAAATGTTTAGGCACATGAATGACTCAGAATCTTCTTGATCTGTTAATGAGAAGCTGAAAGAAATTCGCTATCATTTTCTTATGAGGCAAAGAAACGTTCTGCTTTACCAGCAGATACTGAAATCTTTTTTGTTTTTGGATTCTTGGATCACTTTTAAGCACCACTTTTAGGCTGATGGCCAAACTGACTGTACTGTGGAACCTGAGTGATTTTATAAATTACAATCATAAGTACAATAATAAGTAATAGTCACTCTGTAATGCTAACAAAACTTGAAAGTGCAGCACATTCCTAAGCATTGAATTAAAAAATTGTTGAAAAGAAACACATTTTTTATTTGTCATATAAGAACATTTATGTTTTCAATATCATGACTACATCTCACATGTCAAAAAATCCATAAGATTTTAAATTGTTTCTAAATATCATGTTTTAAAGATATCTAATTGTGTAATGTGGTCTAGTTTGTCATGATAATAGAAACTGTTTGGGTGAGGCAGAGAATAAGTATTGGGTCATCACACAAATGATATTTCAGATAAGGTAAGTGTATTTTCCTGTGATGATATTCATATATATTTGATTATATAATATACTAATATACACTATGCATATTAATATATTATATATCAAACTTGTATATCTCATTTATTTGCATATAGAGTACACATAGATGTTAGTCACAACACCTTTTACTATCGTTTATGTTTTTTTTCATTTCTTAACTTTTTTTGACAATTGCTGCTCACAAACAAGTATTCTAGCTAAATATCCAAACCTAAAATCATTTATCTGTAGTTGTGACATGCTGCCTTATTTCCGGGTTACTAAAATCATTGAGCTATTTGTATTTGGTTGTAGGCTTGCTTGTTTGTAAATTGTCCTGTAACGTATTCAGAGAAAATTCTTGTGGCAAAGTACACAGATATACAAATATCAGTACATGATTTATATAGTTCCTTCATTCACTGCTCATTAAGAAATCAGAGTCTAAAACTGTAGTGACTGGATGTATTCATTGTCAATATTTAATGATTATGTAGAACTATGAAAAAATGTTCTTACAGTAATAATTCACTATCACTTATCTAAACTCCAAGAGTCTCATGTTTATTTTAAATTAGTTTTTGTAATTGTCATCCACATCTGCATGTCCATCATGTTATCTATCTATTATACTAACCTATCATCTATTTTTATCTATCATCTTCTTTCATTATGTTCCTCTTCTCTTTTTCTCTATTTCCTTCGTTCTTTCCTCCCTCCCTTCCCTTATTTATCCCTTGCTTCCTTCTTATTTCCTTCCTTCATTCTTTCCTTTCCCCTTTCCTTCCTTCCTCACTTTTCCTTGCTTTCATTGAATTCTTAATTAAAAAACAATGTATATTGCTTGTGACTCTAAGTTGGATACAGTCTGGCGTGTTTCAGTTTAGGCAGTTTTTAAACAATTTATTGCCAATAGTATTTCGACTCCAAACTTTTATAAATGAAATATTTGAGACGCTGTATGAGTTTTAATTAGAGAAGCTGTCATATGTGAGAAACAAAGCACTATTTGTCATGTGTACTTTGCTGTATGTAAAGAGGATATGCTTTCATTTAAAAGTATTCTATATTAAATTTTCAATAACTCACATTTAGAAGATATTTACTTAGTAAATGGCTCTAAGGTGACAATGTCTCAAGTTTTTTTTTCTACAAATGTTTTTTTTTTCAGAATAGAATATGAAATACACCCACATGGAGAAAGGAAATCTCACAGTACTAACTGAATTCATTCTGAAAGGCATCACTGACCGCCCTGAGTTGCAGACCCCACTCTTTGTGTTGCTCCTCATTATTTATCTGATCTGTGCAGTAGGCAATTTGGGCATCATCATCCTCACCAAGGTGGACTCCAGGCTGCAAACACCCATGTACTTTTTTCTGAGACACCTGGCTATCACTGATCTTGGATATTCTACAGCTGTGGGACCCAAAATGTTAGCGAGCTTTGTTGCAGAACATAGTTCAGTCTCCTATTATCTTTGTGCTACACAGCTAGCCTGCTTCCTTCTTTTTATTACTTGTGAACTCTTTATTCTGTCTGCCATGTCCTATGACCGCTATGTGGCCATATGTAATCCTCTGCTCTATATGACTATCATGTCCCAAACAAGATGTTGGATACTGGTAGCAATACCGTATCTCTACAGTGTATTTGTAACTCTACTAGTCACCCTAAGGATATTCACATTATCTTTTTGTAGCTACAATATCATCAATCATTTTTTCTGTGATTGTATCCCCTTGATATCTTTGCTCTGTTCAAACACACTTGAGGTTGAATTGATAATTAGGTTCTTTGCAACTTTTGATTTGATTTCCTCTCTTTTGGTTGTCCTTGTGTCTTACCTGTTCATCTTCATAGCCATTCTGAAGATGAAATCTCCAGAGGGCAGGCACAAGGCTTTTTCAACCTGTGGGTCCCACCTAACTGTGGTCACTGTTTTTTACGGGACTTTGATATTTATGTATGTGCAACCCAAGTCCAGTCAATCATTTGAGACTGATAAAGTGTCTTCCATATTTTACACTCTTGTTATCCCAATGTTGAATCCCTTGATATATAGCTTGAGGAATAAAGATGTAAAAGATGGCATAGGAAGAACCTGGAAAAAGATAGTCAACATTTTTTCCTAAAAGTTGCATACAATAATAGCCGTAAAAGTCTATTTGAATATAAACCTATTTTGCTCTCTTCATAGCAAACATGAATAGGCTCAAGACATGAATACTGGTACAAAATCCATCTTTATTTACTATAGCCGTATTAGGGAAAAATAAAAAAAAAACATTTGCTTTACCTCAAGGGAAAGTAATAATTGTAATAGTAGAACTTCAGTACACTCTGTAGACAATAATACTGGGTTGAGAATCACTTGATCAAAAATATGTGTTAGTGAGTCCTAATTGCTTAGGAAAGCCAAAGAGGCCATGGATTGTGTGGCTTTTTATCCTTACAGTGAAATTTGCAATGTCCATTGTAAGCTCCTATTTGGGTTTCTGCTTTGTGGAAAGGCAGACTTTCTGTTTTAGGCTATACTTCATTTATATGGGTATCTTAAAATCAAATTTGATTATGACTCAGAATTACTAATTGCAGCTCATGTTGAGAGTTATTCCTGAGAATATGTTCAAGTACTCCTCCCAGGTAAATTTAAATGTGTTTCCTTTTCCCTCAAGTGTTCTGTCTTTCATATATGAAACTGCTCACTCTGTACTTGGTCACTCAGCAACTGAGAGATAATGCAAGTTGTTGAGTGACTACTCATGTTGTATCTGTACACAAGGAGGTCTAGTGGTTGCTAGGTCTATATAATGTATCACTTTCTGCCTTAGGATGGATTTTGATTTGGTACCAGTTTAACTAGATTCCTACTGACTATTCAGCACTATTCTTACTTAACCTCTGTAAATTCAAGTGATTCTTATTTAAAATTCATTGCCTTTTTGTCATTCAGTTCTTTTATAAGATGTCTCTCCGCAAGTATGTGTGTGGCTCATTTTAATGCTGATATGTTCTGTTTCATTCATAAATTGCATTATTTTTTCACTGGGTTTTGCATTTTTTTATTCAGTAATTAAACCTGGACAAGACTAACAGAAATACTCTTTTGTTTTAACAATGTTATGTTTAAGGAACAAATGCCAGATTAAATATTCATATAAAACAAAAAAATAGTGAATTAGCTTCTGTAGATAACTTTAATCTTTGTTTTTTAAAGAGTATAGATTGTATAGCTTAATAAAATATTTATAAAATAATAAAATGCATACAATAAAGATAGCCCCCAATTCTACCTCTTTAATAAGTACTGATTTACAAACTATGACAGTGGGAACTACATTGAAAATTGTTTCCACAAACCCTCCTCAGAAAATAGAATGTCTCCGTTCATGTAAATGAAAGTAGGGTACCGTGTTTTACTAACAAAGAAAATGAACTCAGAATTGTTTAAAACTCACACAGAAAAAGCAACTCAATCTAGGAAATGCCAAGAGTAACTTGTACTGGAGAACAATAAAAGAAGCATGGAGAAACTCCAGCATCAAATATTAAGCACAAATATGTGAATGAGATAAATCAAACTAAAATGCTCATAATAGTTAAAAGAAAAAAATTCAGATTGTAATGTAAATCCAAGGCAGAGTTTCTCAAACTCCCTAATGCTATGGCCTTCTGATACATTTCCTCATGTGTGGTGACCCCAACCGTAATACTATATCTGTTACCACTTCATAACCATAATTTTTCTACTGTTTTAAATCATAATGTAAGTATCTGTGTTTTCTGATGGTCTTGAGCAACTCCTATAAAAGCATCATTTGACCCAAAGAGGTTGCAACCCACATTTTGAGAACTGTTGATCTAAAATATGGGATGTGTTGGGAGCAGTGAGACCCCAGATCCTGAATTTCTTGTAATCCCCTGATCTGAGTGCCCACAGCTGCTCTGAGCAGGAGACCTTCAGGAGTTCCTGATGGCAAGAGAGTGGTTTCTGGTGGGTTTGTTTGGGGCGTGGCTATCTCTATATACTCTGCCCCTGAACTCAATGAAGGAGGCATTCTTGGGGAATTCAAGGATGACCCGTGTTGCCGTCTCTCTGACTATGTGTGTCTGTGTATTTTAACCTCCAGCCCCTTGCCCGAAGCTCGGGAACTGGGTGCCAGCGCACAGAGCGCAGACACGGGGGTGCGGTGCGCGGCAGGATGAAGTATTTGAGATCTGTAAAATTTAGAAAGAGGTATAGTCTGTGGAAAAACTCTAAAAGGCAGTGTTTCAAAACAAGTCATTTAAATAATGAACAGTAAATCTAAATGGAAATTTCCTTAAATAAAATAAACTGAAAAAAGATATATTTTAAAACATACAATAACATTCAAAATAGAAATCATAATATTTGCACCACTCCATATTTATTTATTTCAATTAATTTATGTGTGTATGTGTGCGTGCGTGTTCACAAACATACAAGACTTCATGTGCATTATGTGTAAATCAGTGTGACCATGAATGCGGATTAACCTAGAATTGAAGTCACAGGCTGTTTTGAGCCACTATTAATTTTGGAGGATTGAACTCAGGACTTCTATAAGAGCAGTCTTGAACTTTCAACTGCTCAGCCACCTCTCCCTGTCCCACACTTCCTCACATTTAGAATGGCCATTATTCAAATGCATATCAGTACTCTCTTATAAGAGGAAGGCAGCCAACGAATGTATAAATAATGAGGAACATTTACAAAATGGATGTACTTTAATAATATCTTGTTATTTAAGTTTAAATTTCAGCCTTCTATTGACTATGGCTTATATGGATCCTATGTAGCCATCTCCAATTTTCTGTAATTTAACATTATGCTCAGATTCATCTACATTATTACATATTATAGAATATAATTTTTAAGGTGGATGATATTCCAGTGACTGCATCTCATTTTATATACCAATTCATTATTAATGGATATTTAAATTGTTTTATTTCATAACTTGATAAAATTAATTATATGTTATGAATAGTTCTTTGAGCTTATAATGCAAATAATTTTGGATAAAACCAGACATATGTTGGTTGGTCTTAAAATTTAGTTATTAAAAGTGTAACACAAATGTCATGACAATTAATGGACAGTCTCCAGACATTTCATTAAGCATTCTGACATTGTGGACTAATCAAAGAATTGCCTGTCACATCCATGGGGAGACTCTAGAGTTTGAATAAATATTCAAAAGCTACCACACAACAGTTTGCATTAACTTATGCATGGGAGAAACGTTGAGGCACTTTCATCATAGGTAAGGGAAGCAGGATGGTTTATGATATCAGTAACTACAGACAAGAACACAATGTGCTCTGACTTTGTGATCAAACGTTGCTGTCCATTTTTATTTCATTTGTGTCTTTTCTCCTACTCCCTGGTGGCTGAACAAGAAGATGCCCCCATCACATTAAGTTATTGAAAAACTTGATAAGCAACCTAAAGTATGAAAATTTTACCTGTTCTTAGAAAATATTTAATGTTCTGTATCTGTGATGTAAATTCTGATACATGCAAATGTGAAAAGAGGTGGTTTAATATTAAATCATATGAATATTTCCAAGGCAGAAATTCTGTCATTTTAATGTGCTTTTAAAGAGTTAAGCTTTGTGATTACAGTGTTTTCTATAATCAACTCAAAAATATCTTAACACTTAAAAACTATGTAGGTAATTGCACTGATGATATGATGCATGATACATTTATGTTTAAAAAGTGTTCTACATCATATTGACATAAAAAACAATTATTTGTATTAAGAGAATTTTAAATAATCACTTAGTGGCACTGATAAAATGATGTTCATTTTATACAGTCATTTCTTTATACATTTCTAGGACTGTTGTTTTAAAATTAAATTTGATTAATTAGAAAATAATTTTAAAAGTATATTGTAGTTCATTAAATTTAAAATTACTAGGGTGAAGAATATATGCATTTCTTTAACATATAGGATTACTGGTCCATGCAAGTGATGTATTTTTATTTTTTAATATATTATTATTACTAGATAATAAAACAAAATAAAAGACCAAAATAAGATTTAAGACTTTCTCATTGCAATTTTGGAAGATACTTCTATAATATTGTAAAAGTATATCCTCACTGTATTTCTATAACAAAGGCTTTCACCTGGGATAGTGTGGACTTTCTCTATACTGACATACTTTTGTGCAAAAGACAATGAGGGTATATATGTATATATTTGTAAAAATACCTCTTTCAGATACAGTGACTAACTTCAAAGAAATATTCCATCTTCAGTTGTATCACCTGCTATAAACTATAGGCAGCTATACTATAAAAAGTTATTTATGTGTTTCATAAATACAAACATAAATGTAAATATAAATATTTATAAAATACAAACTGCACATTAGGGCTGGAACCTACCTGGAATATGCTACAACAGCAGTCTGTGTTTTTACCTAAAATACATTGCTCCAGGCAGATGTGCGCAATTTTTTTTACCTTATCATAGAAAATATAATCTAGAAAAAATATCATAGAAAAAGTTTCTGTATTATTGATGTTATTGAGTTAATTACTGTTACTAAATGAAATGGAAGCATATGAAAAAACAGTGCAATGAAAATCCATTAGATATATATTTAATAATTGAAGTCTTAATAATATTTAATCATAATTTTATTTTTACTTTATTTGCCTGTATCCTCATAGCTTCATTTATTCTCTGTATATGTGTGAACATTTGTATATATGCTTGGGTAAGCTATCTATCATCTATCATTTATTAAGAACATAACTATAGAAGCTTGTAAAATCATATATGGATTATTGGTATAGATATTATTTGGAGATTATTAAGAACTACATATGGTGTTTACCAGACTAAACATCTGCAAAACCTTAGAGGACAGTTACCATTCATATTGACATTGGAATTATCTAACAATATCTTGAAGTAGTATTTTTCATTAAAATCACAATGAATGAGAAATACAAATTATTTTCTCCTGTCTCTTTATCTGCATATTCCTATGAGCAAATGTACTTATTTCAAATAGTAACTTAGAAATGTTCAATGTTTCTTACTTGCAATCTTAAACAATAAATATTTTTCAGGTAATCAATACTGAA